CCAGTGTTGGAGCATTCACCGCTTCTGGAGGCAGGTTGTTCCACTGGTTAATTGTTCTCACTGTCAGGAAGTTTCTCCTTAGTTCTAGGTTGCTTCTCTCCTTGGTTAGTTTCCATCCATTGCTTCTTGTCCTGCCTTCAGGCGCTTTGGAGAATAGCTTGACTCCCTCTTCTTTGGGGCAGCCCCTGAGATATTGGAACACTGCTGTCATGTCCCCCCTCGTCCTTCTCTTCATTAAACTAGACATACCCAATTCCATCAACCGTTCCTTGTAGGTTTTAACCTCCAGTCCCCTAATCATCTTTGTTGCTCTTCTCTGCACTCTTTCTAGAGTCTCAGCATCTTTTTTACATCGTGGTGACCAAAACTGGATGCAGTATTCCAAGTGTGGCCTTACCAAGGCCTTGTAAAGTGGTATTAATACTTCACCTGATCTTGATTCTATCCCTCTGTTAATGCAGCCTAGCACTGTGTTGGCCTTTTTGGCAGCTGCAGCACACGGCTGGCTCCTATTTAAGGGATTGTCCACTAGGACTCCGAGCTTTGCGCTTGCTGTTTGCCTTTCCCCCTCTCTAACGTCTGCCTCCTTCTCCTGCAGCATGGAAGAATGTGAGGCTCTCTGCACCAGGCTGGCCATCATGGTCAACGGGCAGTTCAAGTGCCTGGGTAGCCCTCAGCATCTGAAGAGCAAGTTTGGCAGTGGCTATACGCTGCTGGCCAAGACGCACTGCGATGAAGAAGGCCACGTAGAAGACTTCAAGGCCTTTGTGGAGAAGACATTTCCCGGTAAGCCAGCTTTGTGATCCCAAAGGTGGGTTTTTCGCGAGGCAACTGGACTTTCTTGTTTTTCCTTTGAAGATGTTTCGCTTCTCGTCCAAGAAGCTTCTTCAGCTCTGACTGGATGGTGGGGAGTGGAAGGATTTATACTCCTTGAAGACAGCTGGTCATTTGCCTTCTTTTAGAGAGCTGTTGAGGCCACTTGGAGGTTTATCTGTGTCCTCGGGGTCACCTGAGTGGTGCAAATGGGCGCGGAGCCTTCTTGGAAGTGTTGAAAGGACTGTGTTGTAGACTGGACAAAGTGTTGAAAGGACTGTGTTGTAGACTGGACATAGACGATGTCATATCCCTCCCCCTCTGTTGAGAGAGGGCTGTTCAGTCTTGACCTAGATGGCCTCTTTGACCCCTCTTTCAAACCAGCGGCCCTCTCTGTCCAAAATGTGGACCTTGCTGTCTTCAAAAGAGTGGCTGTTGTCTTTTAAAGGCAGATGGACTGCTGACTCTTGTCCCGATGGGTTTGTTCTCCTGTGTTGTGCCCTGAGTTTATGAAGTTTCCCCAATGTACAGATCTGCCCATGCTTCACTGCATTGTACTGTTTTTGTCTGGGTGTTTTATCCTTGTGGTGGACAAGCATCTGCCTTAGTGTTTTCTTGTGATCATGCAGGTATTCCAGCTGCTCATATCAGATCAGGCAGTCCTTAATGACCAGTCACTGTTCAAAGTTATGATGGAACTTGCAACCAGGTTTTGAAGTTCCAACATCACGCCTCCAGCTCCTGTGATCGCATGACTGCATTTTGGGTGCTCGGCAACCAACTTGTATTTATGGCTGTTTGCGTGTTCCATGGTCACATGAGCCTATTTTTTTCTAAAAAATGACATTTACTTCCAGTTTTTGGCAAAACCAGCCCATAGCAAACAATTGTTCACTTAATAACCATGATGGTCACTTAAACAATCCCCGAGCAACAAAACAACATTCAGAAGTGATTCAGGCAGACACTTCCCTGATTCCCTGAAGTATAAGGAGGGAAGGAAGGTCCAGCAGAATCAGAGTTGCAAGATTTGGTTATTACAGCCAATCTGTAGGAGAAAAGCAGGCACAGCTGGGGGGGGGATGGAGTTAAGGGTGTCATCAGCTTAGAGTCCTTATGTTGTCACAAACATCCAAGTTCGACCCCTCTTGAATTTTGTTGACCCTTATCTGATGCCAATTTAGTACTGAACTGCAGTTGACTAGATTCTTGTGTATAGACTTGAGCAATAGATCTTCAACTGCAACTTAAAGCATGGCCCTGATACTTTGCTCCTTTTTTTAAGCTTTCTTGGGACCAGTTGATTTACTGGTCTAGTCTACCTAGTGGGGTTGACTGCATAGGACACTTGTACTCTACTCTGCCTATTGCAGAACATTTAATTGGGGCATTAAAATTCAGAGTGGTACCTTGGAAGATAGGAAACCAGGACAGAGATTTTCAACAAACTGTTGGCCGCAGTTAATAACAATTGCAGATTGGTTTGGGGGGGGATGTGGATGACTTGGCTATATCTTCTTTTTTTTCCCTTTCCCAGACAGCATCCTGAAGCATGAACACCAGGGGATGGTCCATTACCACCTCACCAATAAGAACCTCAGTTGGGCACAGGTAAGGCTGGAGCGATGGCCAGTGATGGAAATTTCTTTCTCACTAAGAAAAATATTGTATATAAGACTGATCCATCAGGGAAGGGTCTAGAACAGCTCAACAAGTGAAAGCTAAAGATCTTCAGTAGGAACTCCAACGTCCTTTCTCCACACTGGCTTCGATATCTTACAAGCTTCTAAACCTTGGATGGAGGCTGTGGCTTGGAACTGTTAACTACCCCTTTCTCTCCCTGTGTGCCTTGTGTCTCCCAGGTGTTTGGGACACTCGAGAAAGCCAAAGAGAAGTACTGCATAGAAGATTACTCTGTAAGCCAAATCTCCTTGGAGCAAGTCTTCATGAGCTTCACGCGTTTCCAGCATTACACAGAAGATCGTGAGAAATGAGTCCAGTCTTCTCCAGCTTCTTTTCGTGGACTGACCTGTTGCCTATAAGATAGTATACAAAGAGAAGGTAATTTATAGTATCAGCCATGTCTCCAACGACAAAAAGAATGGACATATTCTCATGGGACAAGGGATACGCCGCCGTACTGACATTATGAGGATGAATGCATGGGCTGTGTGGCTGTGTTGTACGTCCATTTGTCTGTGTGAGGCATGAGAAGGAGGAATGCTTAACCATCTTTCAAGGCGGCTGGGATGTCCTACCAACTCTCAATCCACTTTGATGAGGAGGAGGAGGAGGAGGAGGAGGAGGATGAGGATGAGGATGATGGGAGGGCCTAGCCTACTAGCAGTCGTGGAGGCAATTAACCCCGAATCCTGGGTCAATTCCGTAATTCAGCATATTGGATGCTTGGATACTAGTTTCTTCTTTCTTTCCCACCCTCCCAATCTTATCTTCTTGAGAAGTTCCCACTGCACCAGCGTTGGTGTCGTTGGCCTGCCTGCATGTCCGCAGTTTCGGAGCGCTGACAACACGTATTCATCCAAATGGTTGTGATCCGTACCTGTACGTTCAGACCAAACTCTTTAGAAGGTACCCACTCGTGGTTCTTTTGAGGGTTTGCATCCCTTGGATGGTGAAAAAGCAAGCACATAAGTGAAAGAAGCAAGTCATTCTGAGCCTTCCCTAGACTGCACCCAGGGAATGGACTCTGCTCTTCAAGAAGTAGTCNCCGTTTGAAATCCATTGATATGAATTAACAGCAGAAAAAAAATCCACCTTGGTCCATAGGGAGACGTGGATTTTATTTTGCAGTCAAAGACCACAATAGAGTTACGCAGCCTAGAAAGGCCCCTTTCAACGATGGGACAGTCATTTATGGCCTCCATTTTATAGGTAGTCCTCAATTTACAACCATTCATTTAGTGGCCATTTGAAGTTAAAACGGCACTGGGAAAGTAACTTAGGACCGTTTTTCACACTCTGTCACCATTGCAGCATCAAAATTTGGACGCTTAGCAACTGACGTGTACTTATGACAGTTGCAGTGTCCCGGGTTGTGTGTTCCCCTTTGGTGACCTTCTGGCAAGTCAAGTCACTTCTCAATAGTGTAACTAATTTAACGAAGTGCAGTGATTCCCTTAACAACTGTGGCAGGAAAGGCCGTAAAATGGGGCAAAACTCACTTAACAACGGTCTTGTTTAGCAACGGAAATGTTGGGCTCCGTTGCGGTTGTAAGTCAAGGGCTAGCTGTACGTGTATCAAAAGGCCCCACTCTGATAGATAAATAAATAGCTGCTTTCCAACCCCCATTAATTCTGGTTTGATCGGAGTATACTTTCTGCCACTTCCACCTGCTTCCCGGCTCATTCCTGGTTCCTTGGTTGAATCCCAAATTCTCCCAGCAGAAGGTCTGGAGTGCTTCCACTAAGATTATGTCCTGTTGATGCTTTTAATAGGAGGGCAGGGCGAGGGCTTATCAGATTAATCAACCCATTCCCCACTCCCACCCTGTTGAGAAGACATTTATGTACAAAATCACCCTGTCTAATCCACTATTTTGTGTTATAGTCTAGGTAGGCAACCTTGGCTCTTTTATGACTCGTGGACTTCAACTCCCAGAATTCCTGAGCCAGCCATGCTGAGGGGAAAGGGAGAGGTTTCCAAGCTGAGCCATGTTGGCTCAGGAATTCTGGGAGTTGAAGTCCACGAGTCATAAAAGAGCCAAGGTTGCCTACCCCTGGTCTAGGAAGAGATTGAACCACAAAGGGAGGATTTGAACAAGCCATTCTTCCATAAGACCCAGGGACTGGATTTGACAGGGCCAGATGTGCCGTCCTCCAAATCCAGTCTTGGACCACTGTTTGCACCTGCCAGACTTGAACACATCTGCTCTGCACTGAGCTCTCTATGTGCTAGTTAGATAAGCAAAATACTTCGGGGGGGGGGAGGAAAAGGTGCAGTCAAAACAAAAAATCTTCTTGAAATCCCGTTTCTATGGAGGCCTCAGAGTTTGATCCTGGCCTCCAGCTTTTATTCACCTTGTCCAGAAAGGGACGTCCTTGTAACATATCTATTGGCTTTCATTATTTCCTGCAATAGCACTGTTTTCCATCCAAATGTGTCACAAATTTCCTTCCTTCCTTCCATTCATCCATCCATCCTTACTTCCATATCTATTCCTTCCTTCCATCCATCCATCCATCCATATCAGTCTTCCTTCCCTTCCTTCCTTCCTTCCTTCCTTCCTTCCTTCCTTCCTTCCTTCCTTCCTTCCCTTCCTTCTATTCATCCATCCTTACTTCCATATCTGTTCCTTTCATCCATCCATCCATACATACATACATACATACATACATACATACATACCAGTCTTCCTTCCCTTCCCTTCCCTCCTTCCTTCCTTCCCTCCTTCCTCCCTCTCTCCCTGGATGATGCTTCTGGACCATAATAAGTAAGCTTGGAAATGACATTGGTTGGGCTTTTAAGGCAGACCAGGTTCTTGGGCACCAAAGAGAAGGGACTTACACTCTGCACAATTCTTCCCTTCTGAGTAGTTCAGTCAAATGATGGTTGCAACCTCCGCTTTCATTTGTGGTTCCTCTCAGGGCACTGGAAGTGTGCTGTGAGGACAGTCCACAATCCATCTGCCAGTTGTGTCTTGCAAAAGAGAGCATTCTTGGGATCTAGAAAACGATCTCCCAGGCTTTTCTCCTCTGCATAAAGAACTAGGGCTTAAACTCATTGCAGTTTGAATCAATGCAAAAACTCTCTGCTACTTGAATCCACTAATGACGCACGGAATGTATTAACTGAGCATCTGAACCTCTGTTAGTCAAAGGAGAAGTGGAAAATATGTGGGACCAGGAAGGGAAAAACTTAAAGGAGCTCCCAGGTTTTATTTTGTGGTAGTTCTGCATTAATAGTTAACTTTTAGTTTGGGCCTCTGGTGCAGATGCTGTAGTTTGTCCTTTAACTAATCTGTGCCTTTTGATCTTTGTCTCTGGATGAAGTCTGGTGAACAGGAACACAAACCATCTTTTCTGTTAAGGAGGGCAGAAAGCTGAGCATCCAGGCGCTGTGTGGCTTAAAAAAAAAATCTACCCTCTTTTTTGCAAATTATATACTGCATTATCTGGGCCTGCTTCCTAAACAGACAAGCGAAACTACCAAGTTTAGTTCTCTTAATAAAGAACTTCCTTACAAAGTCAATTTCATAGCTTTAGATCAGGGGTCTTCACACTTGGCCCTTTGATGACTTGTGGAACTTCAACCAGAAGTGCCTGGCTGAGGAATTCTGGGAGTTGAAGTCCACAAGTCGTCAAAGGGCCAAGTTTGAAGACCCCGGCTTTAGATTTTTAAAATTGCAAACCACCCATTCAAAACCCCACGACAACTACACGACAACTACAAGGCAGCTCAGGAGACCAAATCAGGTGGAGAGAAGTTGCAGCTAGTCTTGAGTTTATGACCCTCTCTGTCACAGGGCACAGTTCTGTTTCCCGACAGGATAAAGGGAGATCTGTAAGGAATGGAGCCCGGTTGCATTTCACTCTCCTCCTAGCCCTGAATACCAATTGCGGGAAAGCAGTGATGGGAATAACAATGTGCCGCCTCCTGTTGGGTGTACGGTTTGATTGTTGCACACTGCTAAGGCTTCAGGTACATTGAGCACGATTTAATTTGATGGCTTTATTTATTTTAAACATTTGTAGAGCTGCCCATCTTACAAGCAACTCTGGATGGGCCCCTCAATCAATTGGACTTGGTTACAAGTAAATCAGCAGAGCCCGCTAAACACCAACCAAGGCTATTCCAACAAGTGGTGTAGATTCTTCTTCTTCCTCCTCCTCCTCCTCCTCCTCCTCCTCCTCCATATTTCATCCCAATCAAGGCTCATAATGGTAGTCCTTTCCCATAAATTGGAGAGGGCGAGGAAGAGAATCAATGCCCCCCAGAAGAAGTTGAGATGGACTATTTCCTACTGGTCTCGGTGTTGGTAGATTTGGCTGTTTCAAGTCATTGGTAAGGCACCATGATAAGGTGGCTTTTTGGGGGGGGGGGCTGGGGTAGGTTATTTTTCTTTTTTCAAGCAGAGTGAGAAAGATATAGGTAAGGAGGTTCTTTCTTCCCCATTTCTTTGATTCCTGAATCTCATAGGGCCCAGTGATCGGTAATGACCCACTGTCAGCCACGTGATGAGTTTGTGCAGCTCAAGACGCTGGTTTCCACCTTGGCTGTAGTCTGCAGCAGATACACAACAGGAGGCACCATTGTGTTGCCCAACCGAGGTTCAGCCCGAAGATTAATTTGATGCCCGTCTTTGCAAGTTGCACGGAAAAATTCCTCCTTGTAGAAGCGTTCAAAGGAAGCCCCTTCTTCTCTTGGGACTATCACCCCCCCCCCAAATGCATCAGGGACCTTAAAAACTTAGCAAAGGTTCTTCAGCTAAAAGGACAGCACCAGCCAGCAAAGTTCTCTGTAGGTAGTCCTCAATTTATAACTGTTCATTTAGGGACTGCTCGAAGTTACAACGGCACTGGAAAAAGTAATTTACGGTCGTTTTTGACCCTCAGGATGCTGCTGCCATTGGTTGCAGCGTCCCCGTGGTCACACGATCAAAATTCGGACGCTCGGCCACAAGTTCATGCTTTACGACGGTCGCAGCATCCCCCGGGGTCACGTGATCCCCTTTTGCGACCTTCTGACAAGCAAAGTCGACGGAGGGAGCCAAATTCACTTAACGACCGTGTTGCTAACTTAACGACTGAAGTGATTCACTTCGCAAGCCTGGCAAGAAAGGTGGTAAAATGGGGCGAAATTAACCGCCTTGCTTAGCCACAGATATTTTGGGCTCAATTGTGGTCGTATGTCGAGGACTACCTGTATCAGGCAAACTTTTTGGAGCTTCCCTTTACCTCCTTCTACCCCGTCACATTTTATTTTTATTTTATTTTGTACTCATTTCTCTGTGCAATTTTTTTTTTAAGACGTTTTCTCAATAGAGGGAAAGGGATAAAATTCTCTGCATCGCCAGATTAATTTCTGCACACTGTAAAAGGATGAATTATTGGGATATGG